AAGCTGGCAGCATATCCCCTTTGTATGGCTATGCTAATGCGTTGGCCAAGGTAGCTACCGGTCCTTGGGTTTCCCAGACAGTTGAGAACGATGCTATTTAGTTTAGGTTTTTGCGATTATTATACACGTTATACATACGGAATTGTTTTATGAAATAAACCGACGTTCCGTTCAAAGTAATCCGTGACTACGGGCCTATAACTTGCATGGTCTGAAACCTTGGTTTGTTTTAAAAAATAAATATACGCGATTCAGATCTAAGAAAATAGTTTAATTTCCGATGTTTCGTTTAGATTTATATACTCGTATAAATGATAAAATTACTTATTATAAACGTGACTCATCAAAATAGACTTACTAATTTATAAATAATGGAAATTAAACGTAATTATTTTGGTAATTGTTCGCTTTAATTTTTTCTACAAGGAAAAAGTTCTCATACTCAACCGGTTTTTTCAATAACACCTTTTTTTTTCTATATTCCATAAACATCATCATTCGTCATTCGTCATTCGCCATTTTTATCCTTCTCTTTAGCACTTCATCGTTCAGAAACAGCACCCACTCATACTAAGCTTCGCTCACAATCCTACACATGTGTACAGAAAATTTCCATTTTTGGTATAACGTCTTCCAAGGTGACCTTGTAGGTAGTCCATTTGAACAGCAAAATGTGCTGTACAGCATTTCAAAATCTTCTTATCGTATCGATGGTTTATACTATATCATTGTAGCCCTGAACTCAGTCACGCTGACTGCATTACTAGTAGCAGCCATTAAATCATCAAGCTTGCAGGTGTTAGACCATGTAGGGCACAATGTGATGTGGAAAATCGTTTGTATCGCACCGCACAAACAGTCCAGGTTAGAAGTATCCGAAAATCCCACCTGAACTAATTGTCCTTACTCCGGTCAACCTGAGCTTGAAGCCTATTTAAAGACTTTCGGATCGGCCTTGGTAATTGGTGTCTAGAAGAAAGATTATCAAATACACAAACACAAATTTACAAATAGTGTGTTATGTTATGACTAAATAATAAAAATGTGAAATGCTTACACAAATTTGTGTATCATATTCATAATTCTTATTATTATGAAACTTTTTTATGAAATAGGTATCATTAGATTCGATATGACTCAGTTTGTTACTACGATAATTTAATATAAAAAGAAAGAAACTAGAAGGAGTATATTGTTCCAGTATTTCGTGGAAGCATAACGAAAACTGCCACGAAATGCTGAAGTGTTGTATCTGGGGCAAATTAATCAAGAAGCCGTTCTTATGAGATGTAGGGAAAAATTTTGTTTGTCAAAAAGATAACAAATAATATTTCACCGAAAAAGATAACAAATTACATTATTACTAACTTATATTAATGCTTTACATACAAAAGGTAGAGATTATGAAATTTTTTGGCTTGTTAATAGATAGGAATCTGGTCTTTACGAATCATATTGACAGCATCTGCAGCAATACGAACAACGTTACGGAGGACGTATACAAACGTCGTCTATAAATGAACACAAAAAATATTTCTTTATAAGGATTGATTAATCTGGAATAATGTATATGCGGAATGATATGGCATTTGTCCACGAGTACCATCAACCTATTTAGTCATGAAAAAAGTTATTGGTTATGATTTTGGTAATATGGTTCTGCGAGCGATAATATTATTTTACAAATAACCTTGCATATACGTAGTCTGTAAGTTTGTCAAACAGTACAGAGTACTAAAAAAACCTACCTCAAAAGTTTCTGAAATTACATCTATTTGCCAAGTTTTCTTGAAATCGGTTACCGGAAAGTGCGCGAAACCGGATTCATACCCTAGTTTGCCACCTTTAGAGGGGGAGCATTTTCATAAAAATTTAAACGGCACCACTACTGAGGTACCTTCTTTCTTACAAAAAAGAATCATCAAAATCAGTTCACGGAGCTATCGTGTAACATACATACAAAAAAAACATAAAGTCGAATTAAGAACCTCCTCCTTTTTTTGAAGTCGGTTTAAGAAGCCATAGAAATAAACCTACGCGCGAAATGCCACCCATTAGACTTGTTGTAGAGCATTTACCAAAAACTACGCTGTACTTAAAAAGTCCATATTTTTTTCTTTTTTTATTATCATACCAAGTGACGAGACTAACAAGTCGTGTACCTGTTGGTAAGCGACCCGCCTGTTCATAACAGTTGCAGCTAGCATTCAATCGCAACACCTGAGGGGCACCGCCACTGCGCTCGTCACCTTGAGACATAAGTTTGAAAAGTCCTATGTGTCTGTAATTTCACCAGTATCCTTAACCCTTCGAAACCGGAACGCAGGAATGCTTACATTACTGCTTGGCGGCAGAAATAAGTAAGGTGGCAGTACTTCCCTGGACAAACCCTTTCGCAAGGTGCTCTACCGCTACTAAATGCTTTGTACATATTACACATGCATAAAAACTTGTATTAAAGTACCAAGTGAAATGAAAAAACATTTACAGTGTGAATAAATATTTAGAACAATAATTTCGCATTATTGTTAAATACTATGACGTATTTTTTATCATTCTTGACTTATTTAATTTGTAAAATTGTAAATAGTGACTTTCATATTTATTATTGTAGTAGTCAACTAAGATTTTATCAGACATTTGCATGCTATTTGATATATTATGCGAAACATATTTAGTACTGGTACTGTTTTCTTTTTCTGTTACAACTTTTTATGCCGTAATATTATGATTATAGTATATACTATCATATTTGCAAAATATATAGTATCTTTTAATGATAATTTCTAATAAAGTAAATTTTTTAGGTAGTATTTATATCACATAAACAGAGAGAATCTGTAAACAGAATAGAGAACATACTTATCTAAAATTAATAGGTATAATTATAATTTATAATTATCACAAAGATGTAGGGCAGTTTATGGCTTTTGTGCAATTACTGATCGCAATATAATTGAGAACAGATTACGCATCCCGTACCATGTTGCAGTCAATTAGCAAATTAGGGGATTGTTTGAAGTAAGTTGCAAAATCACCAACCCGTGTTTTTTCTCTGTGTTGCTCAATAAATTCTAATAATATTTAGCAATATCATCACCCCATTATACGTCCTACTGCGATAGGTCTCCTCTAATAAGAGGGTTTAGGTCATAGTCAGTTACACTGAGCCAATGCGTGGGGACTTCCAAGGGTTGTGAACTTTCTTCGTCATTCTAAGTTTCATCATGATAGTTTTACTTCAACTTTTTTGTATTTCTTGACCATTACGTTCTCCAATGTTTTATATAAGAATAATCCGTAGTATTGTAATCCGAGGTGAGGGACCTAGTTACCTACATTACAAGCTTCGGCTTAGTTTAGGCACCAGTCACTTGCACACATAATGCATCTGACTGTGTATGTTATCTAAATTTCTAATGTAACTATTATGTTTGTGGAGAAAATAAATTATTATTTTTATTTACTTCACCGTTAACGAGAGGTCGCTATTAACAGTCACAAATGTACGTAACTCTGAAGTAACAGTTCGTGTCAAGACTCTAATTTCTGAATTCCTGATATAATTTTGACTGTTAGAGGAGATTAATTTATTTGAAAATTATATGACCAAAAAAGTGCTGCACTCGTGAAAAATACAATATACATTTTAAAGTCAACGAACTTTGCTTTTGACTGCTACCTAACCCTGGAGCTAAGGTCTAAGAAAGATAAGATCTACGATAGAACGAGCTCGCCCAAAAGATGTCTATTCAGTCGCATCATCCGGTTGTATGTGCTCGAAAACACAGACACAGGCAGGGAATTCCATTCCTAGGCTGTGCGCATAATAAAGTATGACAAAAAACAATGATTATCGATCGAAAGTAGGGATGATATGCCGACGTACGTCTGGATGTCCGATAATAAAAGTGGGCGGACGGAACGAGCTGATAAAACACTCACCGAAGACATTCTGTAAAAAACCGACTCGTCTGTAGAAACAGATCTTAATTATGAAGTATGCTGTCAGTGGAATTTGAAATATCGAGCCCAAATATTAGAGACTAAATTTATGACTTATCATAAACCAATTTCAAAATTTGTTGACTTGACATTACTGCTGAACATAGTATTTTATTTTCTGTATGAGGTACCTTTACGTAAGACTAAGAACTCGACTAGCAGAATGTTAGAAAGCATCAACGTGTATCTACTACAATCACAGTAATTAATCTACTAGAATTTTGACAAATTTATGAAATATATTTGAATATTTTACGTATTTTACATTTGATTTCCATGTGGTATACAGATGGCCTACGTTTGTCCGTGATGGCTTTGTTTTTGTGGCCTTTGCTCAGTTTAGTGGACATGTTTCGACTGATAATGAACTGACGTCTGTAATGTGTTTTTTAATTCATGTTGTGTTATTTATGAAAAGGTAAAAATTTATTTAGTATTGCTGCTATAAAGACTGTATGTCACAAATTCAGATTATTCATTACACCTCCACAACTGCTTTGTCCTATATGCCATATACACCTAATGTTTCGTACCATAGTATGATTTCTTTTTATTTTCCCGATATTTCGGAACGATTACAAGCTCCATGTACACGAGTTGACTGGCTAGCGGTTGATGATAGCTTTAAGAACAGAAACGTCTATCTGCCCTCTTTCGTTGTCGTTGACTACGTACCGATTACTTGTAGGCATATACGCACCATTTTATTTCATGAAATGTTTCATCGACCACAAAAATGTGATTGTATTTCAATCATGCTAACCAACCTTATTAGTCATTTTAAACAATACCTTGTTCCATGACATTGATGTCGACATTGACCACACAAACCACGAGAGTGACCACGCACACATGACCAATACACCAACACAAATAAACTGGGAACATGTACATGCACGCCTCAGTGCACGGTGATACTATGCAACGATTGCACGCTCTAAAAGATTTATAGATAAATGCAGTTCCCGGTGAAAATAGATAAATGCCAGTGTTCATGTATTTTCTTCACATTGCGACAGACGCCGGCGTCAAGGTTGGACTGCGGACACGTCCAGTTTGAAGGAGTACCGCGGATTACAAAATGGAGCACCGCGGATTACTCCTCTTGTGCTTGAGTGCATGCCTCGTCTCGGCTTCGGGAGACACCTTCGGAGCTGGTCTGAAGCTTTTAAGAAGGATGTACGACAATTGCGAACGATCAGAGCAAATTGTCAAATGTTTCAAAATTCAGGCGGCGAAGTTGGCCGACCGTGCATCTAGGATGGAATCTTTACCTATCATAGATGGAATATCCCTAATCAAAAGAGAAGACTCAGGAAGGGCATTCCCGTCTGCATTGCCCGAAGGAGACTTGAATTCCCTGCCGGCGGAGCAAGTGGACAAACTCCTGAACGTAGCTACTTCAAAATTGATGCAGACACATCGCGTAGTGATCTCACCGACGAGTGTAGGAGCTGATGTAGGGCGCTCTTTAAATGAAGGCAGGAGTAAATTGAAGAAGATGATTGGCCCGATTATTGCTGGTGTTCTTCTGAAGGGTGGTTTCCTAGCTATGGCATTCCAGGCTATTGCTATCATCGCTGGCAAGGCTCTGCTTATCGGTAAGATTGCTCTGTTACTCTCTGCTATCATTGGTCTTAAAAAGTTGGTGACTGGAGGCGAAGCTCACGAGAAGACTACGTACGAGATTGTGAAGCATCCTCAGGTTTCCCAAAGTCACACTTTCTCGTCAGCACATTATGGAAGTGACTTCGACACTACTGGTCCTGGAGGTCATTATAGAAGGAGCGTGGAAGACGAGGCCGCAGCACAAGACAGGGCTTACAGAGCATACGCCCAAAAGCAGTAAGAAACAATCTATAGAACCCTTACGACTCTTATAAAATACAACGACGACTAGGCATCAATGAAAATACTCCAAAGTTAGCGAACAAATTATTTATTTTATTATTTAAACAATCGTCATTAGTAGTATTATTAATTAATTTACAATTATTATTAATTTAATGTGTTAAAAGTTGCTCAATCCAAGTGTATTAATGGCATTGAATGATTTATATAAAATATGTATGTTATACAATTATGTAAATAAGTACCTACGTGAATTGCATGTGTGTTTATGTATGTATTTTGATATATTATTTAATGTTGCATAATCGATTGCACCAAATAACTAGAGCTAATTCAAATTGTTATTACGTATTATTTTGGTTTATATAAAAATAGTAATATAATACAATTAATAATAAGTATAGGCTAGTCGACGGGTACTGTGCATTTCTAAAAAAAAAACTAATCACTCGAATGTCCAATTTTGTAAAAAATAGTTAAGTTTAATTAATAAGTTATTTATTTTTATTATTTGCCTTGCTATTTATTTATTACGGTGCTGTTTAGTATAGGTAGTTAATTATTGCATAATTTCGTATACTTCGTGTATTCATCTATGTATTGTCGATTTATTCGACTGGTGGTTACGCGAGTACCTTTTATATAAAAAAAATATTTATTTTTAATAATATTTTGATTATTGTATTGTATACTAAAAGATTACTATTATTTTTATTTAGTATAATTAATAAAATAATAAATATCGTATTAAGTGCTATGACGATGAAAGATATTCTAAGGATGTAAACAATAATGGGTGTTAAATTTGTATAAAAAATTTGTTGACTGAGACTTAGTTTTATTTAAAAAGATTCTAAGAAAATATCCGTGAAATAAGGAAACGCTCAAAAATGGAAATAAATTAATGAAAACGGGAAGGTGATTCTTATTTCACAATAGTAATGAAAGGTGTCCGCAGAACTACCATGTTTATGTACTCATTGTACTAAAAAAAATGTAGAAATCTAATTAACATATGTCAATTTTATAAATCAAAGATACATTTTAGATTATATTCAATTTTAAATTTTAAATTATATTCAATTCATCAAAAGCCACGTACGAGTTTTTATTCTGACGTCAAGTCGGAAATGGCTTTAATGACGTGTTTCTATTATCGTTTTTTGTGTTCTTAATACGTCTAGGGTACTGTGACAATGTCCAAATAATTTATTCAATTTCTTGATAATGGTTATAGCACATTTATTACAATATAATATCATTGTTTAAAATACACAATTAGTCTGGATTTAGCTTTTTTACATGACATTTTCTCACGATTTGTTAGAAAAGTGTGGCAATGACCACGTTATTTATTCAGTACTCTGATATCTGTTCATAAATATTCATATATATGTAAGTGATGATGCGTTCTGAAAAATACTGTGTAAGTGAGATTTTAAGTAATAAAATTTTAAGTAATACATAAGCTTGATTAAGAAAAAAATATTCCTAGGTTTACTCCGTCATTTTCTGTTTTTTTTTTACAAAATTATGTGTCGTGCACCTGGTGGTAAGCGACACGCCTATCCATAACTGTTGCAGTGCTACTCAGAGCTTTAAAACGCAAAGATCTTGTCACTGCGTCTGACACCCTGAGACATAAGTTAACAAGTCCCATGTGCCTGTAATTTCACCAGCACCCTTACGGTAAGTAAGGCATATATACTATATCTAAAGTAATTGATTGGTTTGCTGTTAATAACCTGCTCGTTAATGAGAAAAAAAGAAATTGTGTGAAATTTACATTATCCAATGTTAAAGAGACGGTTACAAACATTGTAGTTAGAAACGAAAAGTTGAATCTTGTGAATATAGTTGTATTTCTAGATATAACGTTAAATGCTAAATTGCAATGGGGTCCACATTTAAGTAAGTTATCTAAACGGCTCAGCTCTGCAGTGTACGCGATTAAAGAAATACGAAATTTTCAGACGTCGAAACAGTTAGATTGTATTACTTCAGCTACTTTCACAGTCTAATGACACACGGCATTTTGCTTTGGGGTGATGCTGCCGATATCAACAAAATCTTTGTCCTGCAGAAACGTGCCGTTAGGGCAATTTACAATTAGGGTCCCAGAGTATCTTTGAGAGATAAGTTTAGGAAATTAATATTCTTACACTAGCGTCACAGTACATCTATGAAAACCTAATTTATGTTAAGAGGAACAGTAATCTCTTTATGAAAAATAGTGACAGACATAACATTAATGCGAGACATAAAAATAAACTAGCTGTTCTTTTTAGTCGTCTTCACAAAGTGACAAATTCATTTAAGGGGCAATGTATACGCTTCTATAATGGCTCCGTAGCCAAACGATTACCATGCTGGACTGCCATGCAGAGATCCTAGGTTCAATTTCTAGGTCGGGAGAAATATATGTATTTCTTTCTTGATTATTTGTGGTTGTCTATGCGTGTGTCCATGGCACCCGCGACACAGGGTTTCCCTAGTGCGGGGCTATGTTGAGTGTGTGCGTTATTTATTTTATTTATGACAAGATTCCGGTTGATATACAAAATTTGCTATTCACGAGGTTTAAAACTATACTGAAACAAAAACTTTATACTAAAGGTTATTATTATACAACTTCTGCGTACTTGGATGACAAAAATCCGTGGTAGTAACCCGTTTAGCTCATGAAGGTAGTCTCGATCTCTGATGTTTGAAAGAAAAAAAAATATTGTAAATGTTGAATGGGTAAAAATGTTAATTACAAAGAGCAAGCCCTGGAGTTCTTGCTCATTCTTCTTATGGGAGTCTGCCTTACGAATGAGCGGTAGAGTTTACCAATGTGACAATTTCAAGTGTAACAATGCTTACCTATGAAATAAAGATTGTTTTGATTTGGTTCTCCCAAATCGAAACGCAATATGCTCAAATTACTGCTTGGCGGCAAAAATAGGTAAGTTGGTAGTACTTCCCTGGATAATCCTCTCACAAGGAGGTCTACTGCTACTAAATTTCTCATTTATTGCTTTATCATTTTCTAATTAATTACACCGCCATTTTCTTTATTATATCTCATCAAATTGCTTTTGTATTTTCGAGATGTAATTGTACCTGTAATAGTTATGTAATAATAATAACTAGGGAATTCCGAGTACCAGAGCAACATAGTTCAGTCTGGGACATTTCGCAGAACACAACAATTGAACCAATTTAGAAAAGCCCTCTAATTTGTCCTACCCGGGAATCGAACCCGTGACCTCCTTACACAGAGGACACGAGCCAATTTAAATATTAAGGTGCGTTCCCTAGTTTGAAATCAAGTATTTTTTTATAATACCAAGTGACGGGGCTGACAAGTCGTTCGCCTGGTGGTAAGCTACACGCTTGTACTTAGCAGTTCCAGTTCCATTAATCCCACAATATATCGCAAAAATCTGAATAGCACTGCAACAACGCCCGTCGCCCTGACACGACATAAGTTAACAAGTTTCATTTGTCTTTAATTTCTCCAGCATCCCTTTATTGCCGGAACTCAGCATTAGCTCACATTACTGCTTGGCAGCAAAAACAGCTTGGCTACTTCCCAGACAGCAACAACAATTAATCCTTTCGACAAGAATTAATTGATTATTATTTTATTATAAGAATTAATTATTATTATGATAAATCCAAAACCTGAATGATGAAATCATGAAATAAATCAACGAAATTGAATTAAGTGCAAAATGAAAGAATTGAAATCCTATCTCGTTTAGGTAAGGTTGTTTATTCTTTCAGTTAGATATAGATATAAAAATTAATTAAATAAGAAATTATAATATTATTTACAAGAAAAACAACAGACATTAACTGTATATCTAGACGCATTATTAAGACTAAGTACATATTTACGGATCGCGTGTACGATTTTAAAAAAATCGTAACGTTTTTATTTACCGGTGAGTAATTATTGAACTCATACAAATTGTTGGAGCAAGACGCCCCGCTAGGTGAAATGGTCCTGTATCAAATAACGAGGAATAATTAGATCTGATCTAGGTGGAAAGCGGGGAAATGTATGTGTAGTTTATTTGAGACCATTGCCATTGTGCAAAATGAACGTAACTGCATGGGAAAAAGGTTGGAGTTGATCTAGTGCGCTTGCTTTTCACATGGTGTGGATTTTTTTTGATGCTCAATTTAATTGATGTCGCACAGGGCTTCCATTGTACCCGAACTTATACTCTGTAGTCACGAGCATTGCTATGTATATAAATGCGTTACAACGAAATGACCTTCGTAATCTCAATATACGCAAATATTTTTTTAATATATTAATTGGTGGTCATTGCCAACTACGTGGCAAACAAAACAATTGCCTGATCTCTAACTAGAGAATTTTCTGTACTCTTAGTACTAGAGCAACGGAATTTTCGGAACATCTAGACCAGAACCAATTTAGAAAAGTTCATTTTCCAAATTGGTCCTACAGGGAATTGAACCCGGGACTTCTCATCTATAGGTGATAGTATGTACTTTTAATGTACGTAACGGCTCTACATGCATGAAGTCCCTACACTATCTCCTTTGCTGATCGTCGCATCTCCTTACAGAGGCTGGCAGTAGCGCTTAAAAGTCTATACTATCTCAAATGCCTTTAGTTGATACCGCATAACAGTGAAAATGTTGAATCAATCACATTGGAAAAAATATATATTACATGTGAGGATATACACTGATTGTTATATGGTTCGAAAACACGTTTCCTAAAAATTTTCACTATAGAAAAATAAACACAAACTTACCTCGAAATTTTACAAGAAAACCGCTATGTTCAGTAGGTACTTTACATACCAATTTACATACCAATGATTTTTTTTACATCAACTGAACTAAAAAGAACACGTATATATACTACTTGTATACGACATACATTATTCAAATTCTGAAATAAAGCTAGTGTCCCTGCCGGTCGACCTAAGCAAAATGAGCCGTATTAGTACGGGAAAAAATTGAATTCGAGCTGTGGTTGCATTGACTCTTACGAGAGTCA